TCCTTGTTTTATTTTTGTCTTGTGTCAGACATGTTCTCACCTACTGGAAAGACTCTGTTTGGTTGAGGCAGGTGATGCAGGAGGCAGGACATGACTCAAAGGTTGTTGTCGGTTGGTGTCTTGTCAGTGTATCTGTTAGCCTCCAGTTATTTTGACTTGTAAAAAGTCTGGACTGCAGTGTGGTGTCTGCCCTCTGACCTGAAGCTCTGTGTCTCTGTCCTGCTCTGTTTAGGGACTGTCTCCACACAGTTACTACTCAAGTGGCTGTGAGCTGCACTTAAGTTAACATCTGTATGGACAATAAGCCACACGATGATGAGTCTGATGCCTGATCACAAGTGTTAGATTGGGTTTTCCACCTCTGATGTAGATCCCTGAACTTCGTCACATCCAGAGAGAACAGCTCTGTGTCTGTCAAACCATCTGAGTAACATAATGCACAGCAGACTATCGGCCGATCAATAAATTACAACTTCATTCTCATAATATAACGACTTTCTCTGATCAAAATACAACTTAATTCTCATCTTCTCAGAGAACACAGATATGTTGGCCGTGTCTTGAATGTGCAGAAAGTTTTGAACATGAGGAGAAGTGAGAGTTCACCCTATGAATGATTTAAAATCATTTTATGTATTATTGATGTGAATAGGTGGCAAATGCAGATCTAAGGAGGCAATTTCCCCTGAACAAAAGACACAACAGAGGACTGAAGAGTAAATCATGTCTACATGTGTGTTGACTCAGCTGAGATATGAAATGAGGAAAGTTGAACAAATATTTGAAAGCAAAACAGAATCCCAGAGAGTCTCACTGCCTTATATTCCATTATATTTTCAATTTTCACCTGTCGCCTGTATGTTGTGCTTGTCTTTACATAAATAAAGATATTTCCACCATAAACTGGTGCAAAACAACAACCAGAATGCAGGAAATGAAGTGTTGGACGCTCAGTATTTCCAGACCCTGACTTTATCTGTGCCCCCCACACGAGGTTGAAATGAAACCTTGCCTGTCACTAATCGTGCACCACCATTTTTAACTATAGGCACCCAGGACGTGAGATGCAGTAATATTTGGCATACTGTTGAATGCTTCATCCACAATTCTCATCATTTATTTCTCTCATCATCGTACAAATGAAATAAAAACCCACACCTTGTGCCTCTGGCTGCAGATTAGTGGTGCTGTGTGTTCATGCCGCGCTGCTCTGCACCACCCAAACGACAATATGATTTCCAGAACAAGTGTCTTTCCATTTGTCGAGCTCTTACTGTCGCGCTTCGCTGTGATTGGCACAGTTGTTTCAGAGTGATTATTAATAACAACATCCTCCAATTCGTATTCCACTTCACCCAGCAATTTAGCACTTTGCACTGCTGCACAAACATGAGCCATAATGGCAGCGGGCTTGGAGACGTCCAAACAGTCTGTGAGCCCATTAGCACAACATTTCAACAAGATACTCAGTGTTTCTGCTGGCAATGGTGTGGTGTGGTGTGGTGTGGTGTGGTGTGGTGTGGTGTGGTGTGGTGGGCCATCACGGCAAAATCTTTGCTGCTGCATCAAAAACACGAAAAAAAAAATCACAAAATAAAAATAGTAGTTACTGAATGTGATTTCAGTTCAGTTCTCACAGGCCTGCTGATGTGCTTTAGACCTGCGCTGGACCTGTTCATGAGTCACTGTGAGTACACACTCCAGTCTGCAGTGTTCTTCATACAGTTCACTGATAAACCAGAGAATTGTACAGTAACACTGGGATTCACGATCAAAGAGAGTTCTTGTATAACGTCTACACTTCTGTCCGTACTCTCTGTCTCTCTCTGCCAAACCTCCAAATTTTAAGAGCAACCTCTCTTCACCAGATTTATTTTATAATCAAGAGCAAAAACCAACTTACACATCCTATTGTACTAAGTGTTCACAGACGTCAGTGTACAGCCGCAGTAAAAGCAGTTATGTATTCAGCACTGTAGCTGACTGGACTGAACTTTCTGCAGGAGTCTGTCTGGATTCAGCAGGACACTGAAAAAAAACTTCCCCTAAAACACTTGAATGTTTTTGTGCTGCATTACAGTCTGAATCAAGAGAAAGCTAATGATGGACTTAATCGGACAATAAAAAACAAAGCAAACCCACATTTCCACCACACACACGTGTGTTTTACACTTAAAGCTTGTGTCCAGGTAAGAAAGGGAAAACTCTGTGAAGTGACCTAGTCAACTTAATCAGAGAAAACTTTATTTCCATTTGCATTATATTTGGAGGTATGGCTCTGTTCTGGGGCCTCTCTGCTTTTCCTAAGCCTAAGGCGGAGAGAACACACCTCTCTGCCCTTCCATGTGCATACAAGGAAAGCCTGAGAGCAGCAATAAACCCCCCCCCCCGGGAACAGAACAGAGCAGCATCAATGACAAACAGAAATCACATTAGCCCTTTTTAAACAGGAATTGTGCAAATTTGCAGGAAAGTCCAATCAGTGTTTTTTCAGCATTGGCAGTATAAAAACAAAATCGGGGAGTGCAGCAAAATGCCGCCTACCTACTTTTGTTTATACAGAATGTGCCTTTTTCGGGGCAATGGGGGGCGTGAGCAAGTAACAAAACGTGTAGCTCAGCGTGTGACGTAAACAGTCGACCCGTCCTTCACCGTCCCCGTCATCTGACGGTTAATGGCCTCTTGGTTTGCGAGGACAAGGAGGGCGCACAATTCCTTGTCTCCCCAGTTGCTCATCTTTACAGTGTCTGTCAGGTTTGTGTTTCCCTCTTGCTACTAGCTGCTCGCTAATTCCTGCTATCAGCTGTTTCCTGTTTATCCACCGCCAGTGGCTCGCACGTGCAGCGTCATCAACAGCTCCTCCCACAAGTCATCAACAGCCCCTCCTGTTGCAGAAGGTCACCTCGGTCTGTTTAAACTAAAAGGGTTCTGCCAATATGTCTACCCTACGAGGGGGAAAACTGGGTCTAAATGTTTCTTTCACTCTCAAACAGCTGCTCCTCTTATCCACCAATCAATCAATTATCCACTGGGGTTACAGTAGTATACCTGTTTTAAGGTATACTGTGATATTAAAAGTGCATTTGCTTATTTACGATATTGAAAAACATGCAACTGGACGGAGAACGTCGACTTTTTTTAAGTTTTTATCAGAAGGGAGACCTTTCACACAAACAATCATTTAAAAAATAGTTTCAAGTTTCAATTATAGTCACGAAACGTTTGTTCAACCAAAAGTAACACCTCTGTTTTCACTCCTTTAAGGGCCATTTTGACCCATAAAAATAATAATAATTCTGTAATAGTGTAATACTGTGATACTTGAAACATACGATTATCATACCGTGAAAAAATCTCATACCATTGCAACCCTATTCTCCACCATGTGACTGAAACTCAAACTGCTGCTGAGAAGAAAAAAAAGGAAGAGTTACACCTGCGCTGCAATCACAGATGAGAGAGTGAACAAACTGATTCAGGCAAGAAAAAAAAAAAACGGAAAGTTAGCGTGCCTCTTGCTAGCTCCGGTCTCATCAACCTGTTTTCTGGGACGAAGCTCTGATAAAGCCACCGTACTGAACAGCAGACACAGTCAGAGACTAGCTGCAGAGCACAGTGGATCATTTAGCAGCTACAGAGACAGATATGTTTCTCAGTAGATGGTGGAGACCAAAAACAGAGTGCGACACAAACACTTCTCCTAATGAATGCTAACGTTGCTCTGTGTCTGCTGGGTGTATCAACATTTCAACTTAAGGTGATAGCATGTTGATGCTGTGGTTGCTGTGTTCCCCCCAAGTGGCCAAAAACAATTAATGCAACTTTAAAAGTTCCAGAAATCACTCCGGATCAATATTGACTCACAGACAGGAACTAGCTGGTCCTCAGACTGATCATTAGTTATCTTTCTTGGCTGCTCTCAGCTGAGTACAGACGAACAGGTCGGTGTCACATTTGATCTTTGTCACTGAGTGACGGCAACTCAGTGTCTAAATGCCATTTGAATTCTGATCTTGTAATTTTCGACTTTCTATCATGGGGCAAAGATCAGGCCAAAGTCACAAGTCATCATCGTGACGGCTGAATCATCATCTCAGAATTAGTCACATATACAATACCCCCCCCCCTCAGCCCCCCGAGGTGACAGCTAATAATTCATCAGACTGACCATCAGTCACCCTCGTCGGTGCACTCAGAAGACTTCAGATCAATACAGATAAGCAGGTAGCTCTCACTTTTAATCCTGTGCACTGAGTGATGGCTGCCTGTGTGTGTCATTTTAAATTTGTCATTTCTAATGTCAGCAGTGATCTATAAGAAGATGCGATCTTAATTACAGAAAAATAAGACGATGACATCACAGCCACTCAGGAAACTCTTTAGTCTGGTGGCAGCTCATCAGATGAAGCGGGCAGGTTTCACACATGATGTTTATGATGTTCTGTGTTTGATCCTGTCAGCAGTAATCTACATGTGGGCTGTGCCCTGAAGAAAAACACATTTCTTAAGTCCTAATTTGATTTCTTGTGTGTTTCAGTGCAATAATCTGGGGCAGTAACTGACAGATAATTCTTATTTTTTTATTAACTTAGTAACTGCTCTATGCCACGCCAGAAATGTGATAATGAAGCTCATGTGAGCGACTATAAATGTTTTATTTTGTCCAGTCGCAAAACCACAGATTTTCAGTATCTCTGAGATCAAACAGAAAAGCAGCACAGCCACAGACTATCGGGTGTGAATGGCTGACAAATGACCTGAATAATGAATCAATTATTCAAATTGTTGGCAATTTGTCGGTTGACTTATTGATTAATCAACTCGTGTTTCAGTGCTACAGTAATCATGGTGTGGTAACAGTCCAGAGAAGAAGCAAAAGCAGAATGAATTCAGCTTCTGTTTGAGTATCTGACAGGAATGACATGAGCGTTAAGTGACATCACTGATGGGTGAACCTGCAGGTCTGATGGGTGAAGTTTGCAGACGAAGTGTTCACTCACCAGCAGCGTGGGCAGCCCGGCCACCAGGGCGTAGAGCAGGACGGGCGGGACGGCGCTGCTGTCCTCCGGTCCCAGGTAGGGCTTAGTGTACGTGGTGTCGTAGCAGAAAAAGCCCTGCACGTGCACGCTGAAGGTGTCGGTGTACTCGAAGTAGTAGGCCAGCATGACGGTCCCGGCCATGATCACCAGCTGGAAGTACAGCATGATGCAGACAGAGAGCAAGAGACATTTAATTAGAACAAAGCCTTTTCTCTCTCTGTCTCTCTCCCCCTCTTCCTCCTACCCGGCCTCCTCCTCCTCCCCGGCGGCACCGACTCCCGCTGACCGGCTCATGACGGCTCGGCTGCACGCGATGAGCCGCTCTCTGATCGTGGTGGAGGCTCGCTTGCCCTGGCTTCCTCTGCTCACTGCTGCTGCTGCGACTACAGACTGTGTGTGTTAGAGAGAGAGAGAGAGAGAGGGAGGGAAGAGAGAGGAGAGGAGAGGCAGAGAGATCGCCAGCGGGTGTGTGAGGGTGTGTAAGCATGAAAGAGATGAGGAGGCTTGGCTAACCCCCTTTCTATGTCTGTGTGTGTGTGTGTGTGTGTGTGTGTGTGTGTGTGTGTGAAAAAGACAGATTAGAGGGACTTGTAAGCAAACAGGAGGATTGACAGCTCCTTCCATCTTTATATATGTGTGTGTGTGTGTGTGTGTGTGTGTGTGTGTGTTAACTGGACACGGCAGCGAGACATGTGTTTAACCAGTTCAGCAGCAGACTGAGAAAAGCAGGAGGAGAGAATGAAAGGAGAGGGGGGGACAGAGAGCTACAGACGTCATATGTGTCTGGACCGTTTGCAGAGGCTGATGCTCTCTGAACGCAGCCCATATTTCATCAGAGAAATGAGTCGATACATAAAAGTGAATGAGCAGAAGCTGCATGATGTCTCATCCATCGATTTGGACTGAAGTTAACGGACCGAGGTGAAGCAAGGTCCTCTGTGCTGTGCATCTGTAACAGCTTGCAAGTTATTGCTGGTAGGCAGCGGTGTGCAGTGCACAGATACTTTACATGACTTTAAAGAAGTATTTCACTGCTGCAGAGACACTAATACTTTTCAAGTTGGTGCTACATGATCAGAGAGGACAGGAAAAAGAAGGCTGTGGCATTTGCTTTTGCTCAAGAGGTAAGGTTACAATGTTGTAACCCTAGTTCTATTACCACAGACAGGAGCCATCTGTTGGACTCTATGGGTAGTACGGTACTCCAAAACCAGAATGCACTGCGCTGCATCAAACCATTAAACACTCCCACTGATGAGTGACGTGATCCGAGCTTGGCTGTTTTATCCCAGGAAACAATATGGCGACCGGCTGGCAACAAGAGAGCTCATATTTCAGTCAGTTACCACTTTAGTCAAAGAAAACTTTGTTTGCAGTTGCAGTATTATATTTGTTCTGGTGGCACCTCTGCCCTTCCAAACACATACGAGGAAAGGCAGAAAAAGCAAACCTCCCTGCCCTTCCATGCGCCTGCATAGAAAGTCTAAGGCAAGAGCAAAGAACACAGAAGTACAATTTCTAGTTCGAGCAAGCCCCCAGGGATGGCACCGGGCTTTGAAGCCAATACAGCGCTGCAACGATGACATTTTTCTGTAGGCTGTCATGGAAGTTACCCCCAATTTCCACATACTTGTCTGTGCTGCGCAGCGCATTGCGTAGCAGCTACGCTCCCATTCTAGTGAATAGCTTCATTTCCACAGCGAGCGCCACGCAGTGTCTCTGGAGCGTCCCAGAAGCGCCACGGCGCTCTGCTTCATCGGAGATACACGCCAGGTCTATTTTTCAGCGACTGCGCTTCCATTGCACGTCAAGCCACGTAGCTCAGATCGCACCAAATGACCAATTGATGTGAACAGCAAGGCGATCTCAAGTTGTTTTCTGTCTTTCTCCTTCTAAATGAACTATTGTTTTGGTCTGGCTCACACTCTATCAATTGCTTTTTATGGCGTGATTTCGCAGTTCCCACCACGCCGTGCACCCCAAAAACGCATCCAGTAGGCGAGGGTACGCGCCGTCAGTCGCTCCAGATCCACGGCGCGGAGTATGTGGAAATTGGGTGTTAGCGCTGCCCTGGTTCCCTCATCAAAAAGCCGATGGGATTTTTCCATTGGACTTGGGATTGTTGCAGAAAATAAGCTCTATGGCAACAAACATCTATTATACACGTTTTGTCCAAGAAAATAATCTTGCGCTCACTCTAAGACCTACTTCAAAAACTGTCGTTCCCATTAGTTAATTAGACACAAAAACATGGGAGAATAGGACAGAGGTTAAAAAATACTGAAGTAAACCTATAAAACATAGGGTCATATTAATATTGAAGCTGGTTTTGAGAGCTGCAGGAATGACTTTGTAACCCTATAGTTCTTCCCTCAGTCAATATCACATATGCTTCATTTCTATCTCCATTTTTTGCCGCACTTTCAAAAGGTACTTTTTTGTCTCGCTGTGTTCTCTTGCTGTTTGCACTCCTTCATAACTCTGTCATAACTCTTCATACATTCCCGTTTCCTGACATGCTGAAACGGTTGTGTAATGTTCAGTACCCACCGCTGGCTCTGTACTTATTTATATTTTCTTTTTCTTTATCTATTTTTCCTACTATTGCTGCGGCGACCCCGTTTCCCCACATGGATCACTGAAGCCTCATCTTATTTCATACTCCACACTCTCTCTCTCTCTCTCTTTCTGCTTTTTTCTCCAACACCGGAGATGCATTTATGTGCTTCACTGCCACACTGAAACCCATAAGTGAAGGCTGTCAGAGGAGACAGAGAAACGGATTGCGACAGAGAGACAGATGGAGATGGAGATGCAGAGGGTGTGTGGAGTCAGGTGGGTACACGCTGACAGCTCTGAGTAATGGCTGCCATTACTGTGTCACTCTGTCATCACTCCCCATTTTATTACTAACTAGGCCAAATCTATATGCTGCTGGCTTCATGCTCAAACACTTCTAATGATGCATCCTTCCTGCATAATAGAATCATCAAAAAGTGGTTAAATACAGTTCGCACACATTATGAATCTAGTCTTATCAGACTGACAGCTGTACTGTGTACCATCAAGCCTGGTGTTAAGGTCACGATTACAGTAATACCTCAAAAACAAAAACATTTCCAGGATGTTTTTTAAATATGTAGGAAATGATGTGCTTCTTTCTCATGAGTATACACCAGGGGACTGAGCAGAAAACAGATGATCATCAACAAAACAGTGTTTTGGTCAGAGAAACCTTAATTTCCATTTGCAGTATTGATTTGACGGTGTGGCTCTGTTCTGGGGCCTCTCTTCTTTTCCTCTGGCCTACACAGAAAGCCTATGGCAGAGAGACCACAACTCTCTGTCCTTCTGTTTGCCTATGTGCAACGCCTAAGGCAGAGAGAGTACACCATTCTGCCCTTCCATGTGCCTACATGTAAAGCCCAAGGCAGGGAGAGCAGAACAGAGCAGCAGCAATGACAAACAGAAATGACATTGATAAGTCAGACACAGCATGAAAAGGAGGAGCTGGGGTGGAGGCAGGTTGCAAAGCAGCTTGCAGAGGAAGCAGCAACAGTAGGCAGGTCAGAGCAGTTTAAATAGGGCGCCCTGAATGAGATTAGCCAATTGGTTGCAGAGAAAGGAATCATGTGATCTATCAGCTGACTCCCTTCATCAATCAGCTGATCCATCAGTTGATTGGGCTGCTTGAGATCAGCTGATGTAGCTGGGATGTGAGCTGAGCTTGACATTGTGTCCTGCCTGAACTAACACTATGCTCAGTTTCTTCATGAAAATCATTGTTAGTTGTGGTTTCTGCTGAGAGCATCATTGTAAAACCTAAGATAAAAGAGACTACAGTCATGCTTGCAGCTCTGCTTCTAGGCGCAGCTGTTTTCTTGAGCTAAGCGCTAACATAAACATGCTAACATGCTAGCAGTAGCCAGGTTTGTGGAGCACAGATTTTAACCAAATTTACAGAATACTGGGAAAAGAAAATGTTGATGAGCGTTTCCATCCAATACCGCTACGACCTGATACAAAGTCAAAGGATCACCAAAGCCATTACAATCCACCTAACATAAATATCAGAGCAAGTAGCAACAGCGCTGAAACAGCATCTATGTAAAAGGGACAACATGGGTGTGATGTTAGCAGTTAGCAGCTAACTCAAAGAAGAAGAGCAGAAGCCAAAAATCTCTGCAAATTGGGAAAACAATGAGGTCCAGGAGCTCCTACCCCTATTATTCTTCATAATGCGCTGCTGACGATATGTCCCACGAGAGGCTGACACTGTAGCGTTATATGTCACGCCTCTTTTTCATGATGCCAGCATGCTGTGTAAGACCACACACAGGAGTGGAATAATGCAGCTGTTATTTGGTTCTGTAAAGAAGGGACTTCATAGCAGCTCTATGGTGTGATCTCTGTGTTATACATACAGCCACACTGCTAACATGGCTGAAGACTCATCAAAAAGAAAAACTATCAAACTGGAATCAGGTTTCAAATGATGTCTTGCTTGTTTTGTTGAAAGGTAATAAATGTGTTGAAGTGTTGCCACACCATCAGAGTAAATAAAGCCACACGCCTGGAAACACATTCATCATGAGGGAGATGTGTGGAGTGCAGAACGTGTGAAGAACGACACGTCTGTCAGCAGACACATCTATTAATACTGTCTCAAGATTTCTACTGTTTAGGAACAGCCATGATTATTGTCATATACGTGAGAATGTGACAGTGTAATGAATTTCAGTGCTGCTGTCGCTGAACAGACCTTTAACGTTCAGCTGCAGCCGCTTAATGGACGCTGGCCAAAAAGACGTTTGCAGCCTGTGACACTGGTGACACTCCATACATCAGCCTGATGGTAATCTGCTGCACATTAAACACAGTGCCAGAACAGCTCATTGTTCCTCCATTGGTTCTACATGTGGGGAAAATTTGTCTTTTATATGACCATTTAGGGGAAAAAAGGTTTTCCTGGGTGTGTGGGAACACTGGTCTCACAGAAAAACACAAGCAACACTTATGTTTTCACATTTCAGTGGTAATAAAACATAAAAAAAAATATGGAATATATTCACATGAGCTTTTTTGTGAGAGTGCAACTGAACAGGGTGAAAGCAAGGTAATAATCTTACTATATACTGATGAAAACTCTG